CTGGGTTTAAATACGTAAGCGTTAAATAGTGTAGTTGTTCAAAGCTTTAAACGTGCTTCCCCAAAGTTGCAACGAAAAGAAAGCTCTACCTACCTAATGGTTTCGAAAAGTTATTCGGACAGTTAAATGTAAGCTTCAGTAATTTAATGAATTTCTTTTTTTATTGTTACTAGCTTTATAACACATGAGTGTAAACAAAAATGTTCTACTGCCATTTTCCTCACATTTTTCTTTACCATCCACAACAATCTTAGCTTGTACTTGTACAAGGCTTAATATAAATATTTAATCTGTTTAATTCTGGCCAAGCAAAAATAGGCTCATGGATTTCATTTCCCATACGCAGATTAACGGAGCGCGACAGCTGCCAGGCATCGACTTCATTGTCCCGCTCAAAAGAATATTGAATTTATGTTGTCACAGTGTAATGCTCTTATTATTGGCGATGGTTCGATTCATTCGGTCAAACGCCGAAAGTAGGGCGATGATTTGGTATGTGAGAATTCCCTTCATCGTTGCGTACTCATTTTACACCCTTGCATACTCCCCGGAACTTCCAATCTGCTCTACTATTAATCTAAACCTATTTATCGCATTCATGTCACTGTCACGTTTACTCTGACTACATTCAATAGAATGCGTGATGATATATTGAGGTAATGCTGACATACACTTGTGCTACACACATAAATAATGCACAATCAACAGCTAAGAATGCCTTCGTAAATTATCGTCACGCTATGTCCGGAAATTGGTTTTTGGAATCGTGTAATTTCCTTTATTAAGGGATAGGTTTGACTTGTGATAGAAATTGTGTTATTTTACTGTTTTGCAAGTTCTCCTTCCTTTTTCTTCGTTATTAGGTTAGTTTTAAAACTTGTCGACTAAAGCTGACTCTCCTGAATATTTTTTGTCGCAACTTTGAAAGCTTCTGTCCATATTTAGTTTAGCGACATCCCTGTTTGCTTTCGCAAATAATGTTAATACACTTTCCACCTTTTTAGTCATGTTATTTTTTCCACGCTTCCTTCGCACTACTAAGAACTTTCCTCAGACATGACGTTAGGTCCAGATATGCAGCGGATCGTCCACTTTTTCTAGTTTTACTGGTGTCTGGTCTGAATCTACATTACAGCAGTTATGGGAAGATGTACGCAGGTGTCTAGTTTTTGTTTGGTCTAGTTTAGAAGCTGTCTAGTTTAACAGGAATCTACCGGTTCTTGATCTTAGAATTACGCCTTACCATTTTGCTCTATGTCCTAATGTACTCAATCTTACTCTTTGGCGTTGGGTTTAGGAATAATTCCTGTAAGATATTAATCGTATTATCCAATGTTTGTTATGATTTGGGCCGTATAATCAAACATTACGTCAGTGGCCGCCGTTATCTCGTCCCTTGCACCATGTTACTTAATTGCCACGTCGGCTGCGGTCGTGGGAAGATCCCGATCATTGTTCCATTCTATAGTGCTGTCTGCGCATGCGTGATCTCATCCGTGTCTTGGCTAGCATCATACGTGTATAGGAAGAGAAATGAAAGCTTCTTTTAACCTACTTTGTCATTGGCGATGGCGACCTTCGCCTCTGAGCTGCCAGGCTCTCGACTCGATGGTCCTTCGTCTCGAGCATCTAACAAAGATAAAAAATCGCATCGCTTTCAATGTTCAGAACCAACATAACTAATATCGAGAAAATCGTGATGTTTATTTATCGATTCTGATCGAATTACTCGTGATTGCTTCGATTTCCATTTCAATTGAGTTCTATCGGATATGAACATCATAATCGTGATCTAATCGTTATGTTTCTCGAGTAACAAATAAGTATTCGTAGACAGATATAGTATTGTATCTATTTAATGTGATATTCCTGTTTTAATAGTCATTCGTTATCTTAGTTATGCTTTATAACAGCAAGTAAATAGTCAATATTATTGTAATAACATAGGGTTATTTGTAACTCCGATGGATTGATCCACATTATTTATGATCCAAAAATTGATGAAATGTCGCTAAAAGCTTTATTTATGTCGTACTTAGTACATCATTAATTTCTGAGATTGCGACCCAAATGGTTCATTTCAATGAAATTATTTCCAAGATGATTTCAATACTCCTATATTGATTTGATAATCTTAAATATCTATTGACAACTCCAAATTTTCAAACATGCATACAGTGTCCGTCCATCCATATGTTACTCTTTCCTATTTTAGTTTCCATTATAGTCCAGTCTTGGTTGTATTTTTGGCTTTTGTTCACCACACATGGTCGTGATGTCATCAACATACAGTACGCTAAGCTCGCGTTTTAAGTGAGAATTAAAAACAACTTTCCAGTGCTTTGTTTTAGAGATAATTTAACTTGTGCAGCTTTATAATGTATCCTTTTTACTTTGTTTATTTTGTGTGGTGAAAGTAAACATTAGGATATTTAAAGGAGTTAAACGCTAAAAGGTGTAAGTTTGCATATTATGGTATGCATCCAATAAACTTACAAAGTGTTTATACTCTATTCTGTGGAATTTCTTCTAGAAAACAAGGAATACTTTAAAATCGTGTAATAGCACTTACATGAATGCTTCTGGAGCTTCAATCCCAACAGGATTCAATTTAATATTCCATTTTCTTTAGTGCACCGTCCGAGTGCGCTGCTTTATTGTTAAGGGTAACTCGGTTGCGCCACAGATTTGTTTTGTCTGCAGTTTTGTTTACGGTGCACTTTGGTTGGTGAATGTGCAAACATTCAAGTCTACGTTTTGTTCTTTTACTATGTGTGACTTCAAGATATTTGAACCTTTATACTAATGGTAGCAGTTAAAAGGGCATTTTCAGATGTGAAAGCATGATTTTGGTAACCATAAATTATATTATTGTAGTCTGTTTTTGTTCAAGTTTGTGGAAATATACTTTTACGAGTAAGCCGCTGCGAGCATAGTGTTCGTCGTTTAAGAGTGTACTTGCCATTTTGTTAGATCAAAAATTAAGATATNAGACTGAGTTTAGAGGTATACATCGCACCTTCGGTAGAACAAGGGCACAATTGCACTTTTTGCAACTTTACAGGAGAGCTATTTTAAGATTTTTATTGCATTTATTATGGTCTAGCTCTGATAATATTAATCTAAAGTGGTCCACCTTTGCATGACATAAGCTTTATACTGTATACTTTTAAGGCGCTTTGCTTGCAATAATAAAACTGGTTTAGTTTTTTATTTATTAATTTTCTTTTAAAGGAGGGGGTTCATTTGTGCCCTTGTTCCACCAAAATCGAAATTATTTTGTAGTTACGACCAATTTGAGCTTTACTTTAGGATGATTTTGGAATAAAAATAATCAGTTTTTTTGCATAAATAATGTATTTTTTTATACATTAACGAGTGTGTAGTGACTTCACACAAAAAAAGTAAATATAACTTAGAAATAACAGACTTTTTTTATTATTGTTTACTAATCAGTCTACACACTTTTATAACTACTGGTCAAAAGCAAATAAATTTAGCATAACTTTTTGTAATCACATTCGTTATCACTTATAGAATAGTAATACTTATTAAATAATAGTATTTGAATAAAAAAAAACATGAACTTAACAAAAAGAACTCTTATATTGTAATCAGTCAACAACAAAACTTAGCAAAATCACACTAATTTCACACGTAATTAGTTATAAAATAATAGTATTTTTTATAAAAATAACATGAACTTAACAAAAATCTCTTATGTTGTAATCAGTACTCTGTTATTAATCACAGTTTAGTCCTTTTATAAAGGAGGTTTTGGTTAATTGTTACATTTCTAAACGATTTTTTTGGAATCGCACATATAAAATTAAAATAGTAATAATCAAAAACTAAAATAGTATGTAAACAAAATAATATTTTTCTTTTTTAATCTTTTTTACCACCAAATCAGTCATCACTCTCTGTTATGTAAACATAAACAATCCTATTTTAAAACAGGTTGTTAAAATATTGTTCATAGAACTTTGGAACTATATTAGAGGATATCAATTGACGAATGTCTTCTCTTTTTCGATTTGGTATTGGTAATTTTTCGTTGTACAGTTGGTTCAATGTGATGTCTTCCGGTCTTTTCTTATTACCAATACGGCCTGTTCGAACTTTTGCTTCTGTCCAATTGTCCGATTTGTAGCTGCTCTTGTATTGGTATACCTCCGAATCTTTAGTAAATTTAATCGCTTTTGTATCCGAGATTTTGAAAACATTTCCATCAACATTCTTGTTTACGTTCAAATTAACGTCATCAGATAACATCTTCATATCACTGAATGAATCGAAATTCATCTCCTTAACAATGAAGCTGTTACCCTTTTTCTTTGCATTTTTAATGAGACTAACGTATTCTGCTGGAGTGTATATCGGTCCAGCTTTTTTAGCCCGCTTAATATTTTTCTCTATTACAGAATGAACAGCATCAGCTTTATTCTGGGTATGCTCCCTAATAAGAAACTTATGCGTAATTGACTTTATAGGCAATGTGTTGACAGCATAATAATACATTCCAAAAACGAATCTGAAAGAAATAAAATAATTATTGATTGTCTTCTAGTGTATGTTTTGTTGTTGGTTGTCCTATTAAATAAATAAATAAAAATAAAATATTTACGTAGACATTATCCANTAAGATATCCCTAAGGTAAAACACCCAATTATCGACACTTTAACGTCGAGATTCGAGCATTTTTTTAAATATCTGGTTTCTTTATGATGATACATGGTTCTATAATGCACTGAGTGAAATTTTAGGCTTCATTCTATATTATTTTACAGTAAAAAGAAGTGTAATACTAATAACTTAGGAAATAAGACGAGATAGATTTAGGCTCTTTTTAGCCTAGTTATCGACTGCAAAATTCTATACATCGACACCCAGTAATCGACATGTTCCAATAATCGTGATCTAGTAATCAACATATCCTATTTATCGTCATCCAAATATCGACCTAACTTCGAACACCATTCCCAAATAAAAGTCTTACTCAGTCTTATAATCATTTTATTTTCGCTAAATAAAAACAAGGACATTTTGGCATGTAATGCTTTGGTAATTGTAGTACTTAAATAACTAATAATTTTAACGGTATGGTGTTAATGTTTTAATTTTTTTAATCATCTACATATTATAAAATAGTTTTTTCTTGTTTATTATGTCAACTACTTTTAATCACATTTTTGTTACATAAGTAGGTTACTAATACTAAGTTTCGTCTACTTGCTTAATACTAATCAACAAAACTTAATGAGATCTTCTCAGTGGCATATAAAATTAACATACTTCTTATGATTTTTCCACTTGGAATTACAATATTATTAAGTAGGTACCTATTTATTATTTAATAATAAATTTATGGCAGGTTTTGATCACAGACTCGTTTTAGTCTACCACTTAATTAATAGTTGTTTGGCTTAAAAATCTAAACAAAGAAAGTTAAATGTTTTCTGAAGAACATTAAATTAAATACTTAATACCTTACATTGTGAAAGGCAGATATTCTTTCATTTCTGGTATCGTATAAAAACCTCTTTTATTGCATAGCGTTGGTTTTGAAATTGCTTTGACTATGTCAGACTTTTGGTACCAGATTTTATCTTCTTTTTCCGGCCATTTGAACGTGTTACCCACAGAAAAGGTCATGGTGCTAATTTCAAATTTGTTATTATTAACATTTTTAATTTCGCCTGGGAAAAATTCTCCTTCGTATTGGATTATAACATAATCTCCACTAGAATATGTTTTTGCTGGTTTAGAATATTTGCTCAATGGTATTTCTTCGTCTGTTAGTTCTTGTTCGATTTCCATGTTGTAGCTATCTTCACTTTCTGCATAGTTTACCTCGGTGTCTGTATTGTCCGACGATGTATCATTTGGTTTCGGTTTTGGTGTTGTATTTCGTTTTTTCTTCTTATGTTCTTTATCTTTTATTCTATTTTGCTTTTTGTTTTCCATTTCTCTCTGTTTTAACTGTCTTTTCTCTACTCTTTCTTGGGCTTTAATTTCTTTTAGTTTTGCTGCTTCTCTTTTTTGGTTCTCTTTCACTTCATGATAATCCCTCCACGTTTTACTTGTGATGGCAAAAGGAATTTTTTCTCTTAATCTTCTTTTTTTCCCTTTTTTATCTTCATCTTCTCCGGGCCAAAATAAATTTCGTTTAAATGGCGATGGAATATATGTATTTCCCACTTTATTTGCAACAGTTTTTGATGTATTAATGCTCATCATCTCTTTTAAAGGTGTTTTTTCTGCAGCACTTTGAAGAACACACAATGAAGAAGTTGAAGATATCTGAAGTAAGCCTCTTGCTTGCTTCGATGAACTTGGCTGATTAATTATCAAAGCTTCATTAGTCTTTTCTTTGGATTCAAGTGTGATCGTCTTTTTTGAAGATATTATTTCTACTACAGAATTCTCATTGAGGGTAAATGTTGAAGTGCAGGCATTGGCAGCAGTCTGAAGTGGATTTACTAATTGGTTGGAAGAACTTTGCTCATTAACAATTAACACGTCATTAAAGTTTTCTTTTGGTTCTGGTCTGGTCGTCTCTTTTACAGTTGTGGATTCTGCCGCAGCTGAAGTTGAAGAGCAAAATGTCGAAGGTATTGTAACTGAATCTGTTATGTTAGAACAACTCGGCTTATCAATAATTGAGGTGTTATTTGTTGTTTCTTTTGATTCTTGTCCACTAGTTAGGTTTGTCAGTATATTCGATGTAGAATTATTAGACGTTCTGGTTTCATTTAAAGGGCCTGAATTTGCACCATTGTTGTCACAATTTTCCACTAGATTGGAAACATCTTCTTGAATCAAGTTAATTTCAGCTTGTACTGATCGTTCAACAACGTGAGCTGTACGTTGAACTCTCTGTTTATTGCTAGCCCATATTATATACAGTGACGTGTCTTCCTCATTTAACCGAGAATTTAATTCATCTCGACCTTTATAAAAGAGTTCATTGAAAAACTGCAACTTTTCTGTCCCCAATTTTGCCACTATTTCCTTTTCCAAGAAATTAACAAAGAGTGCCTGTTCTGTTGCAACTTGCGGGTTTTGTCGAGATTTTATTTTAGTTAGATCGATGTAGTCTGGGCCAAAAGGATACAAACCGCCAGCGCGAAAACCATTCTTAATGGAATCATCAGTGAGCGATTGCAACGCTGTTTTAAGGACAGGGGCAAATTTATCTTTTGTTAAATTGTGTCCTAAGTTTTGTAGTTTCCAGTCTTTTACTGCTTTTTTCCAGAATGATTTCAGTGGTCTGAATATAGCCAAATCCATTGGCTGTAAAATGTGCGTACTGTTTGGGTGTAATGCTATGATTTCTATGCCATTTTGAGCACAAAACATCGACAAATGCAGGGTCATATGCGATCGATGACCGTCCAAAAAGAACACTACGGGTTTTTGGATATTTTGCTGTAANCTCGTAACTCAGTTCAGACTGAGTTTAGAGGTTATACATGTCATAGTAAGTTTGGTTTATTACACTATTTTGTAATCAAAAAACAAAGTTTGGTCGATGGCCGCGCGAAAAAAAAAAGACGCCAATTTCCGGCATTGTCTTTTATCTTTTGTTAAATTGTGTCCTAAGTTTTGTAGTTTCCAGTCTTTTACTGCTTTTTTCCAGAATGATTTCAGTGGTCTGAATATAGCCAAATCCATTGGCTGTAAAATGTGCGTACTGTTTGGGTGTAATGCTATGATTTCTATGCCATTTTGAGCACAAAACATCGACAAATGCAGGGTCATATGCGATCGATGACCGTCCAAAAAGAACACTACGGGTTTTTGGATATTTTGCTGTAATAACCATGGATCAAAAACGTTCACTATGTATTCATAAAACGTGCTGCCACACATCCAGCCACTCTGTGAACGTCCAATTGCCCAATCTTCAGGAAACTGGGATGAAATTATGGCCGGGATTCTCTCATATGCAAATACTACCATGGGTGGTGCCAATTGTCCAGCGGCATTTCCAGTAATTAGTACTGTCAAATTATCTTTTTCGTCTCCGGAGGATTGGTAGATATGTTTGTCACCTTTTTTTGCAAGAACTTTACCAGCCTTAGGCGACAAAAAAAAGGCACTTTCGTCTGTGTTGAATATTCTTGCTGGCTGTTCTAATACATCTTTTAGATCATTTTGGCGTAGATAAGATTCAACTTCTTCAAACCACCGCCTTAAATGCTCTTCTGTAACAGCATCTCGAGCTGTCGTTAAATTTTGTGCCGTTCTTTCAGACAATATAGGATGTCTGTTTAGAAAAAGGTTGTACCATTTCTTTCCCGGTCTATTGTCAGTAAATGGGGTTGTTTTATCCTGATCAATTATGATACGTTGTACGCTATCGAGGAGCTCATCTCTAGTAACGGGAATGTGTTTTTCAGCCATTTCAAGTACCCATTTTTCTAAAATAGCCTCCTCTTCCGTTGACAAATATGTTTTAGGGCCCATGGAACATTCAACTGGAGTCTTACCGGAAATCTTATCATGTAATGTAATTCTGGGTACACCAAACTTCTTTGCAGCAGTTGCAGTTTTCTCACCTTTTCTGACTGCTTCTACCGCCTGGGCCATTTGAAGAGGCGTGTAATTTTTTTTAGGCGCCATGCCTGCTACCTGCAAATAATGTCGGTTACTGGGACATGTAGGCTAGCATATAGAATATCCAATCATCGACACACACCGCTGTCGGTAATTGGAACGTATGGGATATCCAGTCATCGACACGGCTGTCGATCATTGGAAGCAATTTGAATATTTGAATGAAAGGCTTATATATTTAGAGTGCTGAACAAGCTTAGCTAAATAATATAATAGAGTGCACAAAATAAAATAAAAAAATGTTTCGACATTTGTCGAAGATTAGAAAACGGAAAAAAAATATTTCCAATTACCGACAGGCGTGTTTTGACATTTTAATATAACCTCACCCTTCTAATGAAATTATTAAAAAATTGTGAATGTCTATCCTAATTTCATAAATAACTAACATTTTCGATAAAGCAAAACATTTAAAAGTTATGGGCAATAAATCTTACTCACCTCCTTAGCGATTTCACTAATAAAACTGGATTTCTTTCGAGATCTACCGCGGACGAAACATATCATTACGCCATTTTGTACAAAATGGCCGAATGTATGAAACGTCATCCGCAATGACAGCTAGATAACCCTGGTCTATAGTTTATGGTTCGAATGCGTTCAGAAGTCAGAAAATATTCTTATTTTATTTTGAAAACTTTTTTAATGTCGGACATTGGTTCCTTGTCGAAGATTGGGTGTTCTACCTTAATCTTGTACACTGGCAATTAAGTATGCATTGTGTTGATCCCACTTACTGGAAAGTTTTTCGCTTCCACTTCCTTATATGGATAGGCGGTGTGTTGCTATCAGCTGCAACGATCAAATTAATAATAAATCGTTTAATAATATGTGCTCGGTACTTTGCTGTTTATGGCCATAGCACTGTGCATGCGTGACAACCTGACAAGTACAACGAATGTAGGTTGATGCGCGAAACCTTGCCGCAATATGCCGTTTATATTTTGCCCATGATTTTGATATCTAACCAAGGCGAATGTAGTTTCTTTGACTTTAATAGAGCCTACTATAACACGCGGGAGATGATGAAGATAATGACGTATCTAACGACTCGTGCGTCACATTCAAAAAGATATAAAAAGTACCCAAAAAGTTAAAGTTTAAGTGCGTAAGTCATGACGAGAGGTCACTGGTATTCTGGTAACTAAATGCCATGCAAAAATAAGGAAATCAGTTAAAACACTTAACATCACCGAATCTTTACGTCTTTTTTATGTACGTGATGCCCTACATGTTTTGCGAGATCGTATATTTTACTTTCACTAACTAAACGACGCAGTTACCCCTTATCTATATTTGCCTGTGCTTATCGCGGAAATATGGTGAAAAGTTGCTGTACCAACGTGTGTTGTCTAGATATGCGGAATGCATAATATCGTCGACAGTTTACTTTACACCTCACTTTGCATTCAAATGGGTCTCTTCACCTTGTGATGAAATACGTGTTTGTTTTGCATGGCAGAGTATCCTAGCTTAGAATAACTGTCGTGTCTTGTCAGTATTAAATAACGTTAACGGTTGCAGTTCATGCTAAGAAGTCTGAATGTGTCAAAGATTTACTATGTAGGTATACGAGTACATACATTAAAGCCCTTTTCTCACAGGAAATAATCCGCCTGGTAGCATAATTTACGTCTTCATAATCCGACAAGCGAATAACGTCCACTATGTAACTTGATAAGCTCAAAAGAAATAGTCTATCTGGCGGGGAATTCAATTACTGTATAGTAGTCAAAGGGGAGATCCCGTGGGAAATATAATATCTAGACTTCTTTGAACCGAGCCCTCTTTGACTGTGGGACAGGCAAATCTGATTACGGCATTACGGATTAGTCGGGACAAAAGGGTCATCATGCTACTAATTTAGGTAAATTAGTAGGTAGGAAGGTTTTTGGAAAAATATGGTGTGTTTTTACAGCTTTCTCATTATAGCCAAGTAGAATAGACAGGATTATTTTCACATGAAAACATAGAATTTTATAGAGAAACGTTTGATCCTTAGAACTGATATCTTTTAGGAGTTCTAATTTATCGGCAGCCAATTCTCGGCAAAGCTTTCTAAACCTACCTCTCATTAACTAGGAGAAGCTCGCCATCAGATAAACATGATAGATTATTATTGCAAACCCTAGTCGTGGACTTTCGAGCTGTCCGAGACCTTTCTCTTTGTTGTCTTACTTTATCTCCCGCCATCTGCTGATAAGACAATGAAAATGTCTTATAAGGATTCGCTAGACATGCATTTCTATAGTGTTAACTTACTATAGAAAACAGTTAACTTTCCCCCGGGACAAACTTGACCTTCACTGGTTGGGTTTTTATTGGCGGTCAAGCTGTAGAGTCCTGGCTAGGAGTTGCAGCGGTGGGAACGAGAGGTGGGAATAGTCCCGTTATTATATTAGAAAACTAATAAAATGATGTGGATGGTTTTACACGTGTATTTGGAGAAATTGATGTAGGAATCTTGAGGAAACTACAAAAACAAAACGTAACGGTTCTAAATTGATAGCTCCGATAGTTTGACTAGAGAAATTGTTAATGGAGGATTTAATTTTAGTGCGGCAATTTTTTTTTTGCTGAACCAAAATGTCAGTGAAACTGTGAAATTCGACCTTTTCAAGCCTGTCAGTCGCATACCTATCACACGGAGTTGTGATCGAGCATGTAAACCGGCAAGTACTTTCGCTGTCCATACACTTTCGCCTTCGTCCGATGGTACAAGGGTGACTCATGCTCTTTGTAAGAATAAGATTTGTGTTACGTAAATGTTATGGTACAAATCGTAATTATAGTAGGTATCTACAATCTACATAATAGTAAACGGTAAGTGGTAGATATAAGCAGTAACAAAATCTTGATCTCCATATAGTAATTGGTTAAATCCTAAATAACGGGACTATTCCCACCTCTCGTTCCCACAGCTGCAAGTCCTTTGTAGCCAGGATCTACAGCTTGACCGCCAATATAAATCCAACCAGTGAGGGTTTAAATCCTAAGTAGGGATTACTCGTGCTTACTAGTTTAAATATTGTGTGGATGAAGAAATAAGGGACCTTCACTTCGAATCAGCAGGTAAGTTATTCGAAAACCACAAGAATTTAAACGAGACTACAACCAAATGACGTCCAAAATTATTGTGATTATTTTGAAATGCCGTGTATATAATGGGAAAGTGCCTTACTTCTCGTTAAAGCACAATCGAAGACCGTCTGAAACGACCACAACATTTGAGAAACTGGGTTGTTCAAGTTACCTAAGTTCTTGGTGTTGCTCCTTGCTCTCTAGAAAGCTGACAATACTTTATTTATTACCTTTTCAATATATTTTTTTTTCTCTTTATTTGGGACAACAAACAGTTACATTGAGGGCTTATGTACTAAATCTACTAAATAATGTTCTGAATCTTGAAGTGAACCGTTTACACAACAGACGTTCACAATTTACTGTGACTGCAATGGGGCCAAATATCGGTCTTCCATCGCCATAGCCATTTAAAAGTTGCAAGACCCACGCTCCCAATAAGGAGCTTGGTATAACCATTTTGGACGACACGCTAGTTTTATTCATCACAGTTGTTAAATTTATTCGCTGTCGCAGCCGTTACTTAGAAGAAAAATGTCACTTGAACTGGAGATATATTGTGAGTTGAAGTTTAAATAATTCAACAGCAAACTCTACGGTCACACTTCCCCGTTATTGCAAAATTATTCGTTCCATACCCGACAGTTGTACCGGTGAATACAGAACCAGACAACCAGTAAAGAAAGGCATGGTATGAAATACAGTTACTGTGACATGTGTTGACAGGACCCAAGGTAGGGCGGCACACTTGGTGATAGACATTTCCTATTTGCGACGTGATAATTCAATAAATGTCCTACAAATTGTGTAGGAGGCAATGTTAAATGTATTCTAGCTATCGTATCGGTTTGTTTTGTCAGTAAAGCGTGTTCCAAGTTGTCTTGTCTCCATAGCTGGGCATTAACTCGTTAATCCGTTAATCGTTAATTAACGAAGTTAACATTTCTATTAACGGATTAACTTTTAAGTTAACTTAAAAAAATGTTAACGGACTCGTTAACTTCCGTTAAATTATCCTAAGTCCGTTAATCGTTAATCCAGTACCTACCTACTATTACCAAAAAGATACAGCCTGCACGCTGAAAAACACTAGAAAAACGCGTTCTGACAAGTACGTTCGGGCTTCCAGAACTTCCAGAACCCAAAAGAACAGTTTTTGTAACCAGAAAGAAACGGTAAAAAAAATGCTATTTTTTATTTATTTACAAGCTTAGTAAGTGTGGGACAAATCTTGCAACTGAATTTAAACCAGTTCTCCTCAACCGATTGAGCTGCAATTTGGTATACTTATGTAAGTACGATGAAAATGCAATGTTGTGGTACCATTGAGCTGGTCTAATGATGGAGTCAGGAGGCGGCCATAGGAACTCCTAAATGAAACAGCGGAATCGCATCGAGTTTGGGTTTGTTGGATTTGTCTTTTCGAGCACATTGATGCTAAATTGTATTGTAATTGAACCAAGGCTCTGAGATTAAGATACTATAGACTAAGAGCTGGTGAACGCCAGACCAATAACAGTGTGAGTCACGATAAAGTTTACATATAAAAATAGGTGAAACTAGACTTATTTTTATCGACAAAAAAGAGGTAAAATTTTTTTTGAGATTTTTTTTTTAATTTTTATAGATTTTTTTTCTTACAATTACTGCTTGTAAAGAAAACGTAATAACGTTTAAACTAAGAGGTATTTCTGATAAAATAAAAACAGTAAATAACAGCTAAATAACAGGCGATACTAAAAAAATACATAAAATACCCAGGAAATGCCAACAAATAATAAAAAATTATACTTTTTGAAAAAAATCAGTTTTTAAATTCGTGTTTTTTTGGTTATTTGATAAATTTCTCCAAAAAATGCCCCTATAACAGGTGGTTTTTATTACTTTGTATTATTCTCTATCGTATTACTTTTGTAAAACCAAAAATCGCATGTTTCTATCCCTATTACAACGTTTGCAATGATCGTTTAAACAAAGGCTAGTTAAAGGTTTTTTAGTATGGCCTGTTTATTTAGCATTATTACTGTTTTTATCTTATCAGGATATACCTCTTATTTTAAAAGTTATTACATTTTCTTTACAAGAAGTAATTGGAAGAAAAAAATTCTATAAAAATGACAAAAAAAAAATTTACCTCTTTTATGTCGATAAAAATAGGTTTCACCTATTTTCATATGTGCACTTTATCGTGACTCACACTGTATAAAAGCTGAAAGTTTGTCACCGTATGCTCCCAATATAGGTTAGAATGTTGGGATTATGAAGTTTAGGTCATCGTGGCTTTGGCAGCTATCCTAAAAAAACTGTCTGGCAAGGAGTTGGAACTGTCAAAACTGTCTGGCCGAAAAGAGGAATAAATTCCATGCGCGATACAAGCTTTTGAAATTATTTGAACCTTGCATACAATTATTTTTTTCGTTTTATTATAATGTGTTAACGGATTAACGATTAACGTTAACTTGCGTTAAATCTTGCTATATGTTACGTTTTAACGTTTAACGAAGTTAATTTTTTTATTAAGGGTTTAACGATTAACGAAGTTAACTATTTGATTAACGGTGCCCAGCTATGCTTGTCTCGGCGCGATTTCCATGTCGTTGG